TTATAAGAACTGTTTATTTTTAATGAATATCTTTGTGGAAAAATCCCTATGAAGAACATTTATGTCTAAAAACACGCCTATCTAAGAAAAGCAACATAAAATTAACATTCAATAAAAGATTTGTTTGCAATTAAACGTTTTTATTGACTTCTGAAAAGATTATTTTTATTCATTATTTTACATTATTTATTTCAGTGTTTGTGAATACCACTGATGTCTCAACCATTTTCTCATAAAACAGTCAACTTCTGCAATGTGAAACATAACAAGATATTAATTAAAATGTAAAAAATACAAGCAGGATACAAAAGGAGAGCCTCAGTGGTTAAAATTATGAATAAGTACGCCTATTTGGCTCTGTCTAGTACATGTTGTTAGACCTACTGCCAAACTAAAGTGATAAATTGGGCAGATTTCAGTGATTGGAATTAAAAGGCCGCCATTAATCAGTGCATTGGTTTTACTTCACATTACCGTGCAATCATGTCTGCTAGCATAAACTCTTTTTCACAGAGAAAAGCAAACCATGCATATATAAATACAGCAGCCTGGTTCCCTAAGGTTCCCACTTAGTACAAGCTCGACAACTTCTGGAAATGGATGTTTGTATAACTTGCATATTTATCATCTTGAATTGAAATGATAAAGTAACTTCTAAGCTTATCACTTTGTCCCAGTGGTGTATATTTTCTCTGATTCATTTTTATTTACGCCCACTGGCCACCTTATTTGTGTAGCAATTCAAGTCCTCGTCAACACAGCTATGTAATCAGCCAATCACATGGCAGCAACTCGATGCATTTAGATATAGAAGCAAAGTTAATACAACCGGCTGAAGTTCAAACTGAGCACCCGAATGAGGAAGAAAGATGACTTTGAATGTAGAATGGGTTTTGGTCCCAGACTTTCTAGAGAACAATCTGAGAAGAGAAAATATACAATAAGAACTGGGCAAAAAAAAATCCTTGTTGATAACAGAGGTGAGATGAGAATAGATTGCTTTGAGCTGAGAGGAAGATAACAGTAACTCAAATAACCAGTTGTTACAACCAAGGCAGCAGAAGAGCATTTAATCTTGAAGCCCCAGCATACTAAGTATTGTTTTTAGTCAGATCCATCTTCTGTTTCAAATAGGACAACATGCCTTGTCACAATGCTCAAATCATCTCAAACTGGTTTCTTGAACGTTACAATGAGTTCACTGTACTCAGATGGAAGATTCACATTATCGACGTGAAACTGACAAATCTGCAGCAACTGTCTGATGCCATCATCTCAATATGGACCAAAATCTCTGAGGAATGTTTTAAACACCTTTTTGAATCCCTACCACAAAGGATTAAGGCCATTACTAGTTATGTGTGCTTCATAAAGTGTCCTGTGAGTGTATTTATTCACTATAAATGACAATTACAGCCAGAAAAGCATCCATCCTCTTCTCCTAATCAAATTCAGGGTTGCAAGTGGGCTAGAGCATATCCCAGGGTGAGAGGAGCCATACACTGTACATATTACCAGTCTAACACAGAGAGACAAAGAGCCATTCAAACCTAAGGCCACTTTAGAATCAACAGTTAACCTTATGTGCACATCTTTGGACTGCTGGAGGAAACAAGAGTACCTGAAGAAACTCACACAGACACAGGGAGAACATCCAAACTAAACACAGCCACGAATCCTGGAATCAATCCCAGGATCATCTTGCTGTGAGGCAACAGTGCTAACCATTGCACCACCATGCACCCTATTTTTGACAAACACAGATGAGCAATGCCACAAAGCACTGAAAATGGAAATATAAAACAAGTGAAAAAGTGTAGAAAAAGTGGAAGTTGGTTTGAAATCCTTTCCAGTTAATATTATTGTAGTGAAAGACCTCTTATTTGACTTACCTTAATACAATTAAGAGTATCACAACAAAAATTAAAGTTGTTTCCAGATAAAAAGTTAACAATGTGGTGGTTTTCAGATTTGTACCGCAGAAGTATCTAATCCTGATTTAAGAATTTGAGCGCATTTGTCAAACTGTAATGAGACAGTTATGTTCGTGCAAGAAGCAACAAAGTGAGACACCCCAGATGTTTCTTGCTAAAAACACAGAAGCCAAAAAACACTCAGCTGTGATTCAAGCAGCTGTTATGATGCAGCACCTTTGACAGTGTTGCTCATTAAAACCTTGATTTACTTTGTGCAGATTCACATCCATGATGTGTAAACTGAGTCTGAGCAACATGAAGCCTCGCTCTCTCACATTCATAGAAAATTTTGTGAGAAAACATGGTTGCACTAAAAAGCAGAGTTATACATTTCAAATTCAGAAAGAAGCATCAAACAGACACAATGCGCTTGGAGATAAAAACGTGTGAGGCCACTACATGTAAAATAAAGCAAGAGCCAATTTAAAAAGGGAAATTAATTCAAAATCTGATTAATCTCTTTTTTATTAGTGAGATTAATTTAGATTACTGTGGTGGTTTTTCAACTGTTTTATTATGAACTAAGACAAAGTAACCAGCTTCATCTCATCTGCCCCCAACCCAGCCTCAGGCTCCACATTTGGGCCATGAGTGCTTCAATGGACCACATGTTTAAACATTCATGAGTTAAAATGCATAATTAAACATGGATGGAAACCTGTTTTCCCATATGGTGCGCTATAGGATGTAATGAGACTGATGTGAAAAGACATCAGTAAATTGATCCTGCAGGTTACATTTAGTTTAGTTTGACTCTAATTAACAGGGAAAAAGTAAGCACAGGTAACAGATGTTTTTTTTTTTTTTAAATATTATGAACTAATGATACCCAATTGTTGCTGCAACAGTCAAGTTTGTTACTTTTTGTGGGCTATGTAATCAGATTCCAAGTAGCAGTTTTACTACATTATTTAATCTGCTCACTCTTTCAAAACCATGCTGAGTGATGCCCTTGTTGTCCCAACTCAGTAACATTCACAAGCCCTTTTCTCTCTTATCTCCCTCTCCTCCTGCCCAATCTCCTGTTTCTCTTCCTCTGCTGGTTGCTCCTCTCTGGAGATGCTTGACAGGTCTATTACATTCTTGGCCTTGCCTGCCCCCAATTCAACAGCAAAAAAATACGCATAGAAGAGAAAGAAAAAAAAATATGCGTTCAAATTTTCCCTCAGCTTTACTAAGGCTGTGAGTTGGCCTGCTATAAATCTTTTATTTCTTTCACTGAGAGGGAGGAACAAGTCCCAGCCACTGGGAATGGTACGGATGTTCAGCTGCAGTATAATCAGCTCTCTGCTGAGATGAGGCCAGTAAATATTCAGCGTCTTAACCCTACTTCAGCTCCCAATTACTCCCTGAACTCCCTTGCCTCCTTTTTTCATATGTTTTTAAGGAGCAGTTATTGACTTTTGGAAACAAATAAAATCACAGCATGGTCTATTTGTGTATTTTGTTACACAGTGGAGAAAAAAAAA